GTGAAGATGCCAGCCAGAGAGACTGGTGAAATATTAAAAAAAACTTCAGGCTGCTGAATCCGCCCACTGCTCGAGGCAGGAATCCAAATCAAAACAGATCTGACAGATGGTGGTCCAGATTTTTCCAGAATGTCTCCAGCTTTGGAACGCTCACCACTTCCCGAGGTCATAGGTTCCATTGTCATACTGCTCCAACAGTTAAGAGGGTTTTTTTTCTCCTGATATTTCCAGAATGTCTCCAGCTTTGGAACGCTCACCACTTCCCGAGGTCATAGGTTCCATTGTCATACTGCTCCAACAGTTAAGAGGTGTTTTCCCCCCCTGATACTCAAGATCAGGAATGGATTGTGGTACTGATCAAGAACTATTAATATCCAACATTACAGTAAAGCTGAAACAGAACACGAAAACAATCATAATGACAAAATAGAATTTAAACAAAATTTCTGATGAATTTAAAGTCCATGTAAGGAAGAGAGTTGCCTTACAAAATTCGATTGACCATGAACCGGGAGGACCATGGTTTGAAACAAGAGATATTATTAAGGAAGAATGGAAAGATACCATTCCTGTAGTAAAAAGAAAAGAAACACCTACCCTGTTAGGAGACGCTGGGATGTGACGAAGCAGCAGCTGGGAAGAAGAAGCTGGTGTGGGAGTCTGTGTGTCAGACAGGGTACTACTGTGTGTCAGAGTACCAACCTGATAGGTTCAGGTGTCTGTTGGTTAGCCAGAACTGATAGGTTCAGGGTCTGTGCTTCAAGTTAAGGGTTCTGTGTGAACCAAACTGTATGCATGTATGAATGAGAATAAGCCACGTTACTTTATCTTATTCACCTGATTATTTTATTTTCCCTGTGTGTTGTAGTTAAATAAACCTTATTCTTTTATGTGTTTAAAAATCCATCCCTGGTCTGTGTGACTTCTTATAGGGAATGGTTGGTGGCAGCTTAGTTAACGTGTGGCAGATCCCAGTAGGTCTGGGTTTGTCACAGGCCACTCTGGGTGGTTTATATGTTAAATGTATAAAACATACACAATTCCAAACAATAAGCATAATAATATAAAATCAGAATAAAGATGAAACAAACCAACTATTTAAATAATAATAATAAAAAATAATATAGAACATTGTCACGGACAGATGAGAAGCAAACCAAAAGATGACAAAAGTAGGGTCAGAACTCTGAATGCAGTTTTTATTGACTTTCCTGAGAGACAAAGAGAACTATTTCAATAACCAGTGCAAAGAAATAGAGAACAGAAGGAGAAAAGCGGAAGATCTCTTCCAGAGCATCCAAGAAATTAAAGGAAAATGTAAGCCTACGTTAGGATTGTTGAATGACCAAAAGGGAAACATACTATCTGACCAGGAAAAAATAAAGATTAGGTGGAAACAGTTGACTGAAGACCTATAGAGGAGAGATAAAAGGATGAAAGAGGAATCCTATGATGAAAAGCCTACAGTTCTAGAAAGTAAAGTGAAAGTTGCTCTGAAAGCACTAGGAAGAAATAAATCACCGGAGTAGATGGAATACTGACAGAACTGTTTCAAGCCTCAGAGACTGGATCTGTCAATTCCTAACAGAAATATACCAACAATTATAGAAAACAACTATGGCACACAGACTGGCTGTATTCAATACACATTCCAATCCACAATAAAGGAGAGTCCAAGGAGTGGACTATAGGACCCGAGTTCTAATTTCCCTTACAAGGAAGCATGTTGCCACAAAGGCTTTAACCTCCCCTCCCTCCCTCCTCCTCTTCCCATGGTTCAACAGAGTTTGGAAGCAACAGGATTAAACAGTGATGTTGTATTGCATCTGAACTAGCCACCATGATCCTTTAGCTAATAAGTTCTCCATTCTGCAATTCTGTCTCTCCCCCCCACCCATTTATTTAACCTTCAGTGATCAGCAGTCCTCGTTTGCATTTTTCGTCTCTCATTACATAACCAAAGTATTCTACCTTTCCGCATTTGTGGCCCGAATCCTACCACTGGTAAATGCTGCTAGAATTCCAATGGTGGAACTTTCAGCAGTGAATTAGATGCCCATTAAAAGGACAGTGCTTGTCTTGTCTTGTCCCTCAACCATCTTGTGCATGACAAAAATACATACACAAGAAAACTGACTTCTTTACTGGTGGCAATTTGCCACTGACATTTACACTGTTGGAGTTACTCCATAATAAGTATGTAACAGGATTCCAGTTTGTTACAAGTGTTGAGATTGCTGGGTATTTATTAATTTGCCTCAGTTCTCCTTCGTTAGTCTCCTTCTTCATCCAATTAATTCTTAGTATGTGGTGCTAAATCCATGCTCCTATCTTTGTTATAACTGTCTGTGTGAAAATTCGTTGTTTCCATACCGTACAGCAGAACGAAGAATATATCACACCTTACCATGTGCCTTCTTGAAGCCAAATTTAAGTTTTTGTTGCACACCTATTCTTTATTTTTAAGGCAAGCTTGCCGGCCTGATTTCATTTCTTACGACGGTTCTCTCTTCGTTTGAAATGCCTCCAGTGGCTTGAGTTGAGAGGGAACCTCCCTGAGGTTTTCTTTGTATTTTTCATGCATTGAAAAATGTGGTGCCCGCTCTAAAACTGGGGATGAGATAGCTGTGGGGAGAGAGATAGTGCATGAAAGGGCCACGTTCTGAGGTGCCCCGTGCATGGCTCTGGAAAAAAAAATATCTCATGAAATTCTGGTCTGCTTACACAGTAGAGGCTAGAATAGAAATGGACTACTTCAGACTCTTAAGTGACAGGTGTACGTTTGTGTGACAGCTTCCTTTCATGTGTTCTCCACATTCATGACTGGCAGTAGCCAAGAGCGACTTTTTCGTCTTATGTGTTGGGTTTTCTCTTTGTAAGGTGGTATTTTTTTTTAACTTAAATTCAGAAGAATTAGAGTAAATCAAATAGTTATCAAGAATACAGTTCCCTTTGCCTACCAGCTGAAGTAGGGGGTTCCAATCCCTCTCCTTTCTGGTACATTTGCTCACCGAGCCTGGTGCTTTAGGCCAAAGACGTGCGCCGATCCGCCCTAACCTGTTGCCTCCTCCCAGATGTTGGTGCTGACTTTTTGCTCTGGCGTCTGCGCTCGGCACTTGCCTGACTTAACATCTGGCAGTCCTCTTACCATGAAGGCCAGATGCTGATACAAGTGGGGAAAAGAGGGGCTCCAAAGTTTCGGAGAGGGCGAATTGTTTAACTTTCATGGAACAGCTTCAGAGTAGGTTTTAATGGGGGGCAATATGGGAGCGAATATCAAAAGAATCCATTGAAGCTACCCTTTGAAGGTTTGTTACATTAGCTTAATGGAGGATAATTAGCTAACTGTTGGAGTTGTCCTTTTCTATTAACCCTGTATCCCACTAAGTGGGCAGGTTATGAGATAAAAGCCATAATTGTCTCTTTTAGCAAGAATGTCAGCCTTTGGTTAAGAGCTGCGTCTTGATTTATGATGGGCGTTGTCAATCCAAGCGTGTAGAGGGAGATCTTCTTAGGGACTGCTTTGGATCCCTGTTTTCTTGGGGTCTGTCTAGACATGAGCCTTTTCCCAGAGAGAACGCAAGTCAAATATCGTGGTCCGGAACCCCCATCTCTCCTCACCTCAGGAGACATGCTATTTGGGGATAATCGGAGTGGTAGCACAATTGGATTGCCAGGACAGAGAAACCTGTCCTGTGAGTCATTGACAGACAGAGTAATCAAACTTTTTAATGTATGTCTTTTTTTAAACCCAACACATGTGAAGCAGGCAAAACCCAGCAATGGGAAATGTTTGAGGTGTGTGTGTGTTTTTTAATGCTGCTGGTCCCAGAATCCTACACTTAGCATGACCAGCAGAATTGTAGCTCAAACCCAAATGTTTCCCATCGCTGGCAAAAATTCCATCGGACTTCTGATTATCTCCGTGACAGATCAAGCCAGGTGTTAATCTTTGAAGCCTTTTTTTGTTTGTTTCTTCTCTCTCCAACTTCTTCTCTCAGGTGCACGAGGAAAGAGCAATGCGAACGGTCCAGCGAGCCCCGAAGGTTTGCCTCCGAGATGAAGCAGTGTGTCCGACTCGCCGTACACCCTAACAACATCTCCGTCTCCCAATATAGTGTAATGGTAAGGGTGACCGCTTAAAAAAAAAATTAAAAATCATCATGAACCTTATACTATCCACCCGCCCCGGTGTCTTTCTCTCCTTATCTTTACTGGTAAGTTTATGCCCCTCATAAGCTGAACCATTACATCCAGGTCACTAAAGATGTGTTGCACCCTCAGCCACTCACAGCCAGTGAATATTCTGCATTTCCCCCCAAAGCTGGGACTATAAGCCCAGAACGGGGATTCACATTTCACGCCAGGATTAACTTTAAACCATACGGGTAAAAGCACAGAAAGTTATCCCATTAAAACAGAACTTAAAATAGAACTTAAGAGTATACCACCAGTGTACAAGCATCCCCCACCCACTCCACCTCCAATAAAAGCCCCTTTGGGCCTGTCCAGACTAGCCATTTTGAGTGTGGGATGGATCTGTTGGGAACGAATGATGTACCATTTGGCACGCTCCTCCCGTATGAACAGCAAAGGGCCCCTGGTAGCCCATTGGCACGCTCCTCCCGTATGAACAGCAAAAGGCCCCTTGTAGCCCAACCAACTGTCAATTAAGCACTTCCCCTGATCGTCTGTGGGTGGTCAGGGGAAGTGAAATTATTTTTTTAAAACCAGGAAGGAAGCAGGGTTCAAATCAAACTATGCAAGATAGCTCTGAGAGTGACTGTGATTCTAGAGAGCTTTGTGCCTGAGCAATTAGAATGTAAAAGAAGCTTGTGTTTACTTCCACAGACCAATCACAAAGCAGGCAAGTTAATAAGATTGGGGGGGGTAGGGGGATGAGGACTCTTGTATTATGACTTAGCATACTTTTCACACTTCTCAAATCATCATCATCATCATGTGCCAGCAAGTCAGTTCAGACTTATGGTGATGCTTTTCAGGGTTTTCCAGGTAGAGCCTATTCAGAAGTGCATTACCCTTCCCTTCCTCTTCGGGTGCTCTGCAGCTTGCCCAAGCGATTGGGGGGGGTAGGGGGATGAGGACTCTTGTATTATGACTTAGCATACTTTTCACACTTCTCAAATCATCATCATCATCATGTGCCAGCAAGTCAGTTCAGACTTATGGTGATGCTTTTCAGGGTTTTCCAGGTAGAGCCTATTCAGAAGTGCATTACCCTTCCCTTCCTCTACGGGTGCTCTGCAGCTTGCCCAAGGCCACCCAGGCTAGCTTTTCTCCCAGGATGCACTGGGGGGCGGGGTTGAAATCCCATCTTCTGGCTCTGCAGCCAGATTCCTAAACCACTGACCTATCCAGTCCTCCTTCTCCAGCAATCTGCTATCTGCATTGTATATCAGACTAGGTTCTGTGTTCAAGCAGTCTTTTCTCCCAGAGGCAGAAGACTGTGGGAGCTGGTGACCACGAGACCTGGAAGGTCAAGGTTTCCGGAAGCCCAGTTTGCTATCTGATTTTGATTATGTCATAAATTGGCTTCATTGGCTCAGTGGGTAGGAGTGATAAACTTCTCAGCCGTGGCATTTCGGACTGTGAGAGGTCATAAAGAAGTTTTCCTCGGGTGCAAAGTTTCCTACGGACTGGGAGCAGCAGATCATCCTGTTTCTAATCTGTCTTCGTTTTGTATGTTTCTGTTTGTTCATCCATTCGATCATTTTTCCACGTCAACCTGTGAATTTTTTAAAAACGGGTTTTCACCTTGATTTTTTAAATACATTGTTCCAAATTCTGGAGAAGTGAAAAACACAAACGACCACTGCATTCCAGTCTGCTTGTTAGTCCAGGAATTTCAAATTGGGTCTGGGGTCTTCACAGGGTAGACCAAATTAAACCCCCAACAGCCCTTTATACAGGCCACAAGACAATTTACATTTTTATTTCTCTGCATAGACGAGCCTTCCTGTCACCTTTCCAGAGTTTGGAAGGAACTAACTACAAATAATGAATTACTTCCATGGGGGGTTAGGAAGGCATGACTAAACTACCGTATTTTTCGCTCCATAAGACGCACAGACTTTCCACCCCCCTGTTTTGTGGGAAAAAAGTGCGTCTTATGGTGCAAAAAATACAGTAATTATGAAGATGAGGTAAGGGGAAAGGTCACTAATTTGGTGGTGTAACTATAACTATTTTAGTTACATACATCGCTGCAGAAGTTATTTGGTGTCACTACCTAATGGGTGTTTTATATTCCAGGTCTGTGGCTTGTGATATTCTGACTTTTCAAAAAGCATTTATTAAGTTACTTTTTAATAGTGGGAAGGTAAAGACTTTTTTTTTAAACTCCATACTTAGAACTACTTTGGGGGCTTGTAACTGGAACTACTTATGTTTTAAAAGTAACTTTCTAGACTCTGAACCCACCCTGCTACCTGCCCAGCTTGAGCCTGTCCAGATTTCTGTTGTCCCATTTGACATGAGATCCTAATGAGCTTAATTCTTCCTTCCTCTTCACCCTTTCTCCACTTACCCGTCTCTTGAGAAAATATCCAGGATCAAAAGCTCTCTCTCCCCTGCCAGAAGTTATTTGCATGACATTTGCCAGTTCCCCATCACCCATTTGAAGGGCAGTCCCTTCCTCTCTTAGATCTTCCCTCTGCATTCTTTTGCTCTGCAGTACAATCCCTTTTTTCAGCTCCTTTCCTTGGCTAAATCCATGAAGGTTTTTTTTCATGGTATGGAAGCCATCTGTCACAGGAAAAACGGCCCATGACAGAAAAGGGTTGATACAAGATTGTTGTTGTTCGTTGTTTAGTCGTTAAGTCATCCGACTCTTCGTGACCCCATGGACCAGAACACACCAGGCCCTCCTGTCTTCCACTGCCTCCCGGAGTTGGGTCAAATTCATGTTGGTAGCTTTGATGACTCTGTCCAGCCATCTTGTCCTCTGTCGTCCCCTTCTCCTCTTGCCTTCACACTTTCCCAACATCAGGGTCTTTTCCAGGGAGTCTCCTGGAAATACAAGATAGACCCCCCTCCCCCAAAAAAGGCCATTAAGGAAAGATGTTCTAGGGATTTAGTTGCTTTCATAGGATCTATGCAAGTATATTGTGTCTATAGTTCATTCAGCTGAATTGCTTCGTAAGGTGCCAGGCTGATCCTAGGTTGACGTTGTTTTTATTTGCCATCAAGTTGTCTTCAACTTAGGGTGACCTATGAATAAGTGTTCTCTGAAATATCCTGTCCACAACCGCCCTGCTAGTGTTTGGTCTTCCTCTTTTCCTGCTGCTTTCCGTTTTTCCCAGCGTTATGGTCTTTTCCAGAGAATCCTGCCTTCTCATGATGTGGCCAAAGGAGGACAACCTCCATTTCAACATTTTCGCCTTGATTTGATCGTGGATCCACTTGTTGGAGTATTGTGAAGAGAACGTTCTTTGCCTGTTTGCAGAAGGACAGCCAAGATGGGGCCAGCCTGGCTTCCAGTGGGAGGGAGTTCCAAAGTCTGGGAGCAGCCACTGAGAAGGACTTCTCCTTTGTGTCCCCACTAAATGCACCTATGAAGGTGGTGGGACTGAGTGATCTTTCAGGCTTGTTCCTTTGAGTTTTCCCAGTTCCCTGTGAGCTTAGCTGCAGTTCTTAGTATAGCTGGGTTTTTAAAAAAAGACTTTCCCAGAAACAGTGCTGCAAATTATCTTTGATTCAGCATTATGTATTTGAGGATGGCTTGGTCATGAATGGCCTTTAATTTTATCATTTGTTGATGTGGACCACTCCAACGTCTTGCGCTTTTGGACTCTTGGGGGCAGGAAGAAGCTGAACGCTAGGTACTCCTTAAGAATGAAAATACTTGCTAAATTCTATGTTCTTTCTGATTAGGTTGTCTCCACTAGATGAGGCACCTTAACAAGGAATTTGGAAACCTCCCACAAGATTTTCCCCGTCTCCACCTGAGAATGAAATAGAGCTGCTTCGCTTTCCCTGTAATTGTGCAAAATATCTGTTGTGCCTTTTCCATTTTAGAGGCAAGGCAAATAAACCCAGCAAGCCCCGAAGGACTAAATGATGGCTAGGAAAGATGCAAAGAACCCATCTAGTGCTTGAAAGTCTTAAACTAAGCTACATCCATCCTAAATTAGAGTAATGCCCACAGTTATATGAATTCCACAGTTTTGTACAAAATGGGTGAACTTTGCACACGAAAGGCCAATTCTTGTCAATATAACTTCTTACCAATATGAGAACTCTGCCAAGATAGCCAGGAGATTGCTCACCCTCCTCAAGGACTAGGAGAACAAGGTTCTCCTCTTGGGTCCTCATGTCCTAGTCTGGGATCTTCCGAAAGTTATTGTGTCCCACAAGAAATCTTTCGAAGTTTTGAAGAAATCTTTTGAAGTATAAGCACCCATCTGGCAATTCATGGACCAATTCTAAAGTCATCTTCCTCTGCAACTCATGTATACAACACATTTGTAAACGTTGCAGGATCTGTTTCCCGTATAGGGAACGTGATGTGATCCATGAGCCACTGCCCGAACAGCGTGTCTTTCCCCCCTTTCTTTTAAATTTCTTTTAAATTTCTTTTCATTTGTGTGTTTGTGTGGCACTGACCTAAGTCCGTAACTAGCCTCCTTTATACACAGGGCCTTGTTCGTGACAGAGAGCTCCCTCTGGTGATGGTGCTAGGAGAGGAGGCGTAGAGAGTTAGACGGGAGGATTACAGTTTCTCTGTAGTCCGCAGAGTACCTCTTGTGAGTAACTAGTCGCCTTCCTCAGAAAGTGTCCTCGCCCTGGCGAGTCTTCACGGCACCTGCATGAGTCATGCAGAGCACCCCACTTGCACCACCCCGAGGCGATCGCCCTCTGCCGCCAGCACAGCGCTATGTCAGTAGTAATGGTGGGAGTCCCTGCATCTCCACGCGCCACTCCGGGCTTACCTCTGCATCCCACCCTTTTCACCCAGATTGTTGCTTTCTGTTGAAGGAGATCCCAGTTGAACAAGAAGCATTTTGTCTAGCTCCTCCAGTGTAATTCTCCCCTGCGTGTTGCTTTCTTTCGTCATCATCTACCTCTCTTTCTACCTCCCCCCCACCCCCTTTTACCTGCAGCTGGTTTTGGAGACTTATAACGTTCCTGAGCTGTCCGACGGCGTCAACTGCACCTTTGGGGACTTTTCGGAAATGGACGGAGTGGTGATGGGGAACCAGATTAAGTGCCTCTCCCCGGCTGCCAAGGAGGTGCCGAAGATCATCACAGAGAACGGTGAGTCCCCAAATCTAGGGATGAGTGTACAAGCAGAGCTAGGGTCGCTGCCTTGGACAGAACATCCTCCCATTGAAAAGAACAACAACAGAAGCTTCTAGCCCTGTAGCAAGAAGGAGCAGAACGGCTCTTAGAGGCAAGAGGGGTCGATCTAAATAGCAGCACACGTTGACGACACCATTTGATTTCAACCAAATCATACCAACAGCAGCCCAAATACTGATTTATAGAGCTGTCTGGACAGGCTCTAAGAATATGCCTCTCTCCAAAAAGGGTTAAGGCATGACTCAGTACTGAATAAGTTGCCATTACATCAGACTGAACTAATTTATAGTGGCATGTAGGTAGAAAGGGGCGACTCGTCGTCTCTCTGTCCCAATCCTGCTTGAGCCGAACATCTCGACACGTTAGAGCCGAGGTTTTCGTTTTGACACCTTCTCTCATCTGGTCCTGCGGTCCTTTTCCAAATCCCGCAAACGTCCGCCAGGGATCAAGAGTACTCCCAAGGGGAAGCGGGGAAGAGCTTCTGCTTGATCTTGGCACGCGGGATAAGTTAGGAAAGATGAAACGGTCTTTCCTTCGAGAGGCTGACTCCCAGCCCCGAATCTCTTCCCTTTGTCCGGCTTCGAACCTCCGGGGAAATGCAAAGCGTCTGAGTGAGCTGTCAAAGCTGTCATGGGCAGGTGGGCAGGAGAGGCCCAGGCTAATGGCACAGGGTATGCGGGGATGTGCATGTGCATGCAGGGGTAGTGATGGGCTGTTGTCAAGTACCCTTTGGCACGATAGATTAATGAGTCTCTCAGTTGACGAAAGGAACAGTGGAGGTGGAAGGGGGAGCAAGGGGCTCAAAATTTTGCATTAAACATGGGCACCTTGCTTATGAGATCTAGGCAGTAACTTTCACCTTCTGGCTTCCTGTCTGGAAGAGAGACAGAGTGAATCAGGCACTGGCCTTTTTCCTGCGGATTGGGGGGCTGAAAAGAACACTCTGCCTACAGTTAAGCATGGTGGCGGTATGGTGACCCGGGTAGGTGGGGCTCGTCAGCCTTGGAAGGCAGCCCATCTAGGAGAAGGAAAACTCCAATTCCAAACCTCCACTGGCTTGTGGCTATATCCACTGATGGAAAAGGCTTCAGGAGTAAATCTCAAGGCAAAATCCAGAGCCGGAGTCCCGGAAGCAATTCGTGTCGTTCTGGCAACTCCTGCAACGTCGCTGGAACCAGTTGTATCGGCTCTTGCCTTTCCATTGGACTATTTCACTGATGTGGAGAGGGGGGATTTGCTGCTTGGGTAACAGCCTATCCTCCATATTATTTTACCCAGGCTTTGTGCTCTGGAGAGGACACTCCAGCTTCTCATACAGTGTCGAAGTCCTCCATACAGAGCATGCTACCATAATCTCTCAAGACTGAAGGATGCCTATGATGATGGGTGGCTGGAATGAAAGGCGCAGGCAGGCTTAGGGAACAGAGTGACCTATCCATCCATTTTGCTTTCTATGACATCCACTTATGTTTTACACCAAGTTTGTTCTGTCCCGTTTCCTCACTGGCTGGCAGGGTTTGAACAACGGCATGAAAATGTGTGTGTGTTCTTCAGTACACTCATGTTTGCCTCCTCCCCCCTCCCCATATGCGATTCTATTTTCCATTTTCTCTGCTGTTTAATTTTATTGCTTATTACTTACCTTTATATCCTACGTTCCTCTAGTGAGCTCAAGGCATTTTTCTCGAATTTGTCCTTTTTTAAGCCGTTTTCCTTAATGTACCTGTTTATGGGTGTCATTTTCTGTAATGAGGAACATTGGTAATACATTTCCTGCCGAATATGACCATTTTTGGTATTAAGCCAGAGCACTGCCTTGCAAAATGATCAGAAATATGAAAGGCGAAGGATTATTTTGTTCTAATTTCTCTGTTAGTTAGGGATGCCTGAATTACATCAGTTCCAATGCAAACCTGACAAATCTCCACTTTCTTACACGAAGGTGCTGGGAAGCTGAAACAGAATATAGGGTGTCTTTGGGAAGATGGGATGTTTATCTTTAACTATTAAAGATAAAGGGGTTTAATACCCAAGAGCCTAAATCTACCTGCTGATCTCCCACAGGGTTAAATCAATGATATTTGCATAGGTGTTGATGTGCAATTCAGCAGTTTAATATAGGTTTGGTCCACACAGGGCTAGCATTTGGGGTTAGGCTCAGAAGAATCTTGCAAATGTAGAATTGTTAATGCTTAAGGGGGGAGAAATACTCCCTCTCCCACAGAAGACTTCCATGCCGTGCCGTAGGTCAAGTCCTAGCAATGCCCATATTCACTACCTAGTAATCCCTCTTTTCTCTTCTTCCTAGGAGATCACCACATTGTCCAGCTACAGCTCAAATCCAAGGAAACGGGCATGACTTTTGCCAGCACCACTTTCGTCTTCTACAACTGCAGCGTCCACAATTCGTAAGTTTGCGTTGGTCAGCTTGGTACATTCCAGTAGTATTGCACGACAATGACCCTCTTTCCTGACCATGGGCCATTTGATTTAGGGCTCATTGAAGTGAGTGTCTAAGACTTAGAAAGCTGCAGGATTCCAGATGATGTCATGGGTCCATTCTGTAGGAACCACACGATGGCCATGGTCCTATTGGTGTTTGCTCAAAGTTTGCATAACTTGCTCTGGCTAATTGCAGCTAGTTGATGAGATGCTGGACTGTGTCTTGATTGTGCAGCTGGACTCATGACCAGTCATGGAACAAGACATGCACAGTACCTCATTGGTTAATTGTAGCAAGTTAATTCCCTCAAGTTCAATCTAAGACTTAGAAAGCTGCAGGATTCCAGATGATGTCATGGGTCCATTCTGTAAGAACCACACGATGGCCATGGTCCTATTGGTTTTTTGTTCAAGGTTTGCATAACTGGCTCCAGCTAATTACAGCTAGTTGACTAGGTGCTGGACCGTGTCTTGATTGTGCAGCTGGACTCGTGACCAGTCATGGAACAAGACATGCCTCGTCGGTTAATTGTAGCAAGTTAATTGCCTCAAGTTCAGCCATCTCCATAGACCTTATCTTTTAGTCTGTGTTCTAGCCAGGCAGTGACTTGATGTGCAACAGATCATGTCTGTGGAGATCTCTTAACTTGAGGCAATTTGTCCCTGACAGGCATATCTTTTGCAGAACTGCACAACAGGATTTCAGCCCAAATGTCTTCACTGAAGGTGTGTCACATTTGACAGAGCAGTATCAAAACCTTGGATCCTCAGATGTTCTTGGACTACAACTCCCAGAAATCCTGGACAGCACAGCACGGCTCGTGGGAACTGCAGTCCTAGACCATCCGGGGACCCCAGTGTGAGAACCACCGCAATAGAGCAATGACAGAGAAGGAAGAGTGAGGTGCAAACCCCGGTTTGTTTAGACTATATTCATGGTGGTAACAACTGAACATCTGACTGCTTATGATCCATGTTCCTGCCAAACAGCTATGCCAAGATATGGGAAGAGTTGGGAAGTACATTTTTTTTTTCATTTTAGAAGACACCTACTTCCAGGATACTTAAGTCCATTCCCCTTGCTAGACAACTCCCAGAGATCCTGGCCAGCACAGCACGGCTTCTGGGAACTGCAGTCCTAGACCATATGGGGACCCCAGTTTGAGAACCACTGCAATAGAGCAATGACAGAGAAGGAAGAGTGAGGTGCAAACCCCGGTTTGTTTAGACTATATTCATGGTGGTAACAACTGAACATCTGACTGCTTGTGATCCATGTTCCTGCCAAGCAGCTATCCCAAGATATTGGAAGAGTTAGGAAGTACATTTTTTTTCATTTCAGAAGACACCTACTTCCAGGATACAGTGGTGCCTCGCTTAACGGGCGCCCCATTTAAGGATGAAATCACATAGCGATTAACTTTTTGCGATCGCTTTGCAATGTTCCCTATGGGGAAAATCGCTTTGCGATGATTGGTACCCTGTTTTGCTTACCGATCATCGCAAAGCGAGGGTCCAGTGAAATTCCCCCATAGGAACCACTGTTTTGCGAATTGCTATAGCAATCGCAAAAAGTCAATGTCTAGCGAAAAAACTGTCATGCAGGGTAACTGTCTAGTGAGGCACCACTGCAGAAATTCTGCCTTCTGTGCCCTAGGGCCGTGTCCAGGTTTCAATAAGCGGTTTTGGGGTTGTTTTAGTTTTATTTTATTTTGTTAAGGGAAAGAGTTTGGGCTTTTTAATATCTCATAGCGACGAAATCGCTTTGCAGTGATTTTTGCTGCACAGATTATCGTCGCTATGTGAGGCACCACTGTACTTAAATCCATTCCCCTTGCTAGTTTTTCTTTCTTCCTACCCCACGAAAACACTACAAAAATTCTGCAAACTGGAAAAATTCTATGCACTGCAGAAATTCCGCATTCTGTGCCCTAGGACCGTGTCCAGTCTTCAGTAAGCATGCCAGTCAATGTTTTTATAATTTTGATTGACTGTGTCTGGTATTTTTGAATCATACTCCTAATAAGCATATGCTGTCAAGTCACTTCTGACTTACGGCAACCCTTTTCAAGATTTCCCAAGTAGACAATCCTCAAGACGGGATTTCCCGATCCCCTTCTTCTGGGAACATTTTTGGGGCTTTGCAGCTCGCAGTAAGCATGCCAGTCAATGTTTTTATAATTTTGATTGACTGTGTCTGGTATTTTTGAATCATACTCCTAATAAGCATATGCTGTCAAGTCACTTCTGACTTACGGCAACCCTTTTCAAGATTTCCCAAGTAGACAATCCTCAAGACGGGATTTCCCGATCCCCTTCTTCTGGGAACATTTTTGGGGCTTTGCAGCTCGCCCAAGGCCAGACAGGCTGGCTCTTCTCATAGGAAGCATTGGGAGGGGGGAATGCAACCCCGTCAACCTCTGGCACTGCAGCCAGAAACCTAACCCACTGAGCTATCCAGCCAGCATACCTTATCCCTACCTGGGAGATTTTATTCAGGTATGACTCAGCACAGGTTCGGTAGCCACTGGAGAGAGACACAAACCGCCGGTTTGTGCCAGTTCGTGTATTGACCGAACAGGGGTTTGGCATTTTAAAGCCCCACTTCCTCCCACCAGCACATATGAATTAAGAAGGAGTGTCTGGACGAGGAGGGGCAGGGAAGCCAGGCTGATGTGCCAACCGGATGCCCGCTGGAGGAGGCGGGGTTTTAAAGAGCCAAACCCGCTTGGCCAACCAACGAACTGCCGAACCGGTGGTTCACGCCCATCTCTAATAGCAAGACACACTACAGAGGGTAAAGCAGGAGTATTTGTCTCAATCCAAACATGGGGAATTTACAGTGATTACAGTAATTACAATTACAGTGTCCCTGTCAAGGGAAGCCTTAAGGGCTCCCTTCTGTACACCTGCTGCAGGTCTAAAGGCTTGCATTTTTTGCTTCACGCTAGGGCGTGTTAAGTGCTTCTGACACCACTGTATATTCAGGAGGCGTCCTTCCTGCAGGAAGTGAGCGCCAGATGCCTCGCAAAGAGAGATTTGCTTCATTTTGGCAATCCCTGCAAAATGCCAACTCCGGTTCCAATGATTTCAGCGCTCTGACAAATAGCAGTGCAGCTGGAATCGGGGGGGGGGGGAGAAAAAACATCCCGCACACGCCTGATTTCGAGAAGCCGGCATTTAAATATTTATGGCGTCTTTTGCTTTCTGACTTGACAAACTATAAGACGCTATCCATTTTTAATTTGATTTATCAGAGCAGGCGCCTGTTATCAATTTAAAGAACAGCAGAATCTAAGGTGGGTTGAAGTAGAGGGAGATTTCCCCGGGAAGGGTGGGAGGGCTTCGGTGTGCCTGGGCTAGCATCAGAAATAGAAATGGAATGCAAATAACTCAAGGAGCTGAAGAATGAGTGTACACAGCAGTGACAATAGGCAGTTGCTCTTGATGTATGTACTAGAGATGGGGTTATTCGTATATGATGGGGTATTCACATTTGTATACCCCTGCACAGTTGGACGTAAGGAGGGTCTGGCCCCATCCACTCATGCATCCGCCGCCGCCGTTGGCTCTGCTCTCCCTTCAAATCGCTCCGGAGCTCCCGGTTGGCTGCCCACTCCTGGCAGAAGGAAGGAAGATGAGTCTCCTTGACTAGCTGAGAAGTGGATAGCCGACCGGCAGCTCTGGAGTGATTGGAATGGAGACCAGAGCCACCGCTGCTGGCAGACATGTGAGTGGACAGTCCATTCCAGATGTTCATTTGTAAGGCATGGTAGAGGGTGGACCCTAAGGAGTCCAGGAAATGTGGACTCTTGGTTGCAGCCTACAATCTGGTTCCTGCATCTACATTATAGGTATTATAAGTATTCACACGTTTTCTCGGGTTTTTGCGATTTTCTGGGTTTCACCACGCTGAGCCTCCGAGCTGAGCCTTCCCCCTGCATCTGCACGATTTCATGGCATCCAGAAAAAATGACCCCCCACACACTCTTGTTACCCCCTGTGTATTTCCTCATTTCCCACTTGTTGCTCTGAAGAGGAAACTGCGAAGTTTTGCAAATCATAATGCCAGTTTCCGAAGCATCCTGAGCAGGAAAGATCCCATCCTGCACAGGAATTGCAACAGTCCTGCATGGCTTGGTGTGCCTTCTGTCCTTTCTAGGTGATGCCAGTGCTAGAAAGATCCTATTCTGAACTGAATGGTACAGCTCTCTTGTAGCTTGGTGTTTCTTCTGTTAAATCCTGCACAAGAAAGATGCCATTGTACACGGGAAGTGCAATATTTCTGCACAATTTGACATTTCTTTCAGAAAAAAGTGACCACAAAACTTCCAAGGAATCTTGTGAGTTTTCCCACAAGATCTCCCACGAAATTTCTTTGGAGAAAAAAAATCTCTAGCTGAGAAGTCACTTTGTAAGAAAAGTGTGATTTCACACACATACATACCCAAGCTTTTTTTTGAGAGTGAGAATCTGTGAGATTCAGGTATTCCCAAGTCTTCTTCAAGGGGAATGCTTTGAAACTCCATGGTCAGCTGAAATCACTAAATTTCCTCTTATCTATTTGATACAGGATTTCTGAGACTGTGTGTGTAACTAATTTATGTAAGATAATTCAGCAACTGGAGCATTCACTGATTACCAACATTTCCTCCTCACACCGCCAGGAAAGAATATGTTGGGTTTTATCTGTGCTTCAGTTCCCTTCCCCCCTCCAAATCCTTACATTTCTTCCAATTTTCCTATCCTTTTCTTTGTGTTCAGGTGCCTCTCTTGTGTGGAGAGTCCATATCGGTGCCACTGGTGCAAATATCGTCACGTCTGCACTCACGACCCTCATAATTGCCATTTTTCGGAAGGACGAGTCAAGCTGCCTGAGGTATAGAAACTAAATAGTACAGAGCGTTCTGACGGGTGTGGAGACAGAAGTGAATGTTATAACTATGTCCCATTTGTGCTTTGCAAGATTACTGTTGAAGATGTATGAATGTCATTCATGATCTTGTCATTGCAATGAAACAGTGAGTGTTGGGTTCTTTCTTCTTTTTTTAAGAATTAATATTTAGATACCATATATTTCCGTGTATAAGATGCTCCCATGTATAAGACGCCCCCACTTTTCTAACCCAAAATCAAGAAATCTAAGTGGGGCTTAGCAAGTGGAGGGGAAAGCAGGGATCAAAGCCCTGCGGGATCACTTTGATCCCTGCTTTCCCTTCCACTTACTTTTGTTCTCCCCTCCACTTATTTTTGTTCTCTCCTCACCATGTATAAGACAACCCTCAATTTTTATTCTAGACAAAAGTATAGTCTTATACACTGAAAAATATGGTAAATCTGGTCACAAGGAATAATGTATATATTTGACAAGTGTGCAACTGTACAGAATTTAATCCATGCATATAGACTGTCAGAAATGCCCTCAGATGGAAAGGGGGGAGAGTCAAATTGGGAAACTTACCATGCATATAGACTGTCAGAAATGCCCTCGGATGGAAAGGGGGGAGAATCAAAGTGGGAGGCTTAGAAGGAAGGGACTCCTAAAGGCCAGATGCAAGGCAGAGAAGGAAGGGACCTCTAAAGGCCAGATGCAAGGGAGGGGGATCGCAAGACAGGGATCTTGTGGTCTCGTGGTCTCCCAGAGGCATCTGGTGGGGTCACCATGGAATCCAGGGAGCTGGACTAGAGGGGCCCTTGGCCTGATCCAGCGGGTCTCTTCTGATGTTCTTATGTCTGAGACCGAGATATTTTCATATCTGTATTGGAATGGGAGAGGAACTGGCATATTCATTAAAAACATAATTTGCAGATGTGGGAGGATAGGTAGTTTGGACCGCCCAATTGCAGCAACACAGCCTGCCTACTGCCCCCATTGCCCCCCTACCTGGTTCAGTTGCCTCCTCCTCTTCCTCCTCCATCGCCACCACGGGGCAATTGGGAAGGGATGCCAGACTTGCTGTCTCTCAAGATGGTGGTGGAGGCTCCACACTGAAGATGGTGGAGGAGTCAACAGGACCAGATAGGAAGGCAGTGGGGGCCATGGGAAGGGGCGGGGGAACAAATCAAGGAGTTCATTACATTGCAAAAAAAGAGTTTTGACGAATCTGAACCAACAAACCAATGGTTTTTAATGAACTTCCTGGTTCTTTTTTTTTTAGTTCGTGGCCTTCTCTAGCATTGACCTACAATGCTAGATCTAACTCCTTCCCAATGCTTTTAAGAATTTCTTTATATTCCCTAGTTTTGTATTTGATAAGTGTTCCATCTTTATTATCTGTATTTGTTACTCAGAGATCTTACAGTAATTATCAACCTTGCTTATATGTAGAATTGTCCCTTAAAACATATATATTATATCACCCACATATAGAGGTGGGGAAAAAATCATTGGATTTTACAGTCTTGGTGGAAGTAGTTGTTGGTTGGTTGGTTGGTTGGTTGGTTGGTTGGTTGGTTGGGTGGTTGGTTGGTTGGTTGGTTGGTTGGTTGGTTGGTTGGTTGGTTGGTTGGTTGGTTGGTTGGTTGGTTGGTTGGTTGGTTGGTTGGTTGGTTGGTTGGTTGGTTGGTTCCTTCATTCATTTATTCATTCTCACTTCTGTACCACCACGTTAGTGTCACCACCCTCTGGGTGGTTCACCAGACACAGTAAAATCATACAGTAAAAGTACAATAAAATACAGTACAGCCTGTTGCTAGCAAAAAAATGTACTGACCTTTAAATGGAAAGACGCAAATTAAACCCATTTGAGCATCTCAGGACAACATTCGCATGAGTATTTATGTCATTCTGTCTCATTTAGCTTCTGGAAAATAGTGAGGGATGGCGCCCGGTGAACCTTTGCAGGAAGCGTATTCCAGACAGAAGGGGTCACAGCTGAGGAAACTCAGTTCCTCTTATTGGCCATTTTGGCCTCTTTGAGTGTTACAGTTCTCGACATCAAGGACTGTGAGGAGCACATGGGATGGGTAGCTGTTTTGTAGTAGAGAGATTCTGCCGAATATTGAGGTCCTAAACCATTAAGCGTTTTATAGGTTATGAACAGCACCTTGAGTTGGTTACGGAAACCAACAGGGAGCCAATGAAGGGGAGCTGAGACTGATTATATGTGTTCATATCTCCTGGTACTTGTAATCAGTAGGGCCACCACATTTTAGACCTATTTTCTCCCCACCTGAGCTTCCTTGTGAGAAGAAATGTACCTTGCCTAGAACATTTACACATTTGTGAGGATGGGAGGGACTTTCGACAGTTTCCCTCTTTTGCACATATTATTGTGCATCGTTTCAAGTGCAGATGGATGAAATGCCCCCATTAGGATTTGAAAGCATACAATAAAGAGCTGAGTGTATCAGATAACACACACCAATAAATGTGCACTTTAGGAAAATCTCATTTCAAATGCGCATGGATTTCACTGGGGCGTGTGTGTGGAACCCACAAAGGCCATAATCTTGTTGGGATTTTTGGATTAGTTGGTCTTCTACAGTATGCATTGCCCAGTTGGTTGTGTGCCCAATTTCATACCCAATATGCAACAGGTTGCAGAAAGAACCTGCTGGAGCGCGGGAGAGTTGCCGACCCTGTGGCCCCACTGTCCTTTGTTTCCTTAATGGGATTCTAGCCAAAATTTTACAACCCATTGCAAAATAAGAATGGAAGAAAACACAACCAGGATTCTGAGAAACCTGAGGAAGTCAAATCATCACTACCCTCATTATATTGACCTATCAACATGATTTCAACCCAGAGTGCTCACTGGAAGGACAGATCCTGAAGCTGAGGCCCCAATCCTTTGGCCATCTCATGAGAAGACTCCCTGCAAAAGACCATGATGTTGGGAAAGTGTGAAGGCAAGAGGAGAAGGGGACGACAGAGGACGAGATGGATGGACAATGTCATCAAAGCAACCAACATGACTTTGACTAAACTCCGGGAGGCAGTGGAAGACAGGAGGGCCTGGCGTGCTCTGGTCCATAAAGGGGTCACGAAGAGTCAGACATGATTTAATGACTAAACAACAACAATCAACGTGATTTGAATGATCAGAACTCAAACTTTGGAATATCCAACTTTGATAACTTCAATTTTGACATCAAGGTCCTTATTGCCAAATGAATCGATAAGGCAATGCATTTGTCTAACGTCTAACGTCAATGTTAAGCAGAATTTAATTCTGGCTGCCGTTCCTTGGGTAGTGATGCAAGCCAAGCCGCCGAGTGTCTTCTTCTCCTTAAGGTCAGATCAGTCCATTTTCATTCATTACTCTGATTAAAATCCAAATTGCCACTTGCTCACGCGGAGCCCAGACCATGTTTGTGGCTGATTTTAAAAAATAAATTAAAACAAAAATTGGCTTGGCAATATAGTAAGCATATTTATGCTTCTGGCACTTGGCTCAATCAAAACGGGCTGGTGATATGGCGGAATGATTGGTAGCAAGACTACTTCACCTTGACATATAATTTCCCTTCGCTACCGGTTTCTGAAAAACGGAAGCGGCTGGATTAAAATACACTTGGCAGCGTCATGTTTTGTACAAAGAACAGTGAATATATTGATGTGGAGACAGTGCACGTTACTCAGGGAAGAAATGTGCCCCGTGGGTATTCTTCACTAATATAAGATGAAGAGCAAAAGATGGTTACGGTATGAGTCTCTCCCAACTAGATGCATATCTTGTGAAGTACCAACACGCATGAAAGAAACTCGCTTATGTCAACATCTCTAGATGGGTGCTTGAGTTATGGCTGATCTTGAGGAGAATTTAAGGAAACCCACAATTTGCAGGTCTTTTGCAAAGCAAATGGCTCTTGATCCCCTCTTCAAGATAGTCGGCCTGCCCTAGGAGCAGGGTGCATCTGTACACACTTTCCAGGGTTGTGGGAGGGGGGAATATAGATATTTACTTCCCAATTGTTGAGGGCATGGCAGATATGCTCAGAAGCAACCGGGGAACCTTGGGGTGGGGCCTGGCGTGGCGAGGGATGCCGGGATGCCACAGCCAGACGAAGCTGCTTTTCCTGCCTTTTTGTAAGAAAGTCCCATCTCTGATGCGGTGGACCCCCACACAGAAACACTGTCTGTGGGGTGAGCAGGCTTTGCCATGGAGAGCAAGGACCGAGCCTTCCACCCCACCCAGTCGCACCTCACTCATTAGGGCAAGAGGGGACTTTCCCTAATTCAGATTGCCCCCAGCCACCCAGTCCTGCCTCTGGTGACTTTATCAGAGGCAGAGGACTCTGTGTTTGTGAGTGAGTGTGTGAGACACTCGCTTTCACCACACCTGCACTGTTGTAAGCAGCCATGGAGAGCAAGGACCGAGCCTTCCACCCCACCCAGTCGCACCTCACTCATTAGGGCAAGAGGGGACTTTCCCTAATTCAGATTGCCCCCAGCCACCCAGTCCTGCCTCTGGTGACTTTATCAGAGGCAGAGGACTCTGTGTTTGTGAGTGAGTGTGTGAGACACTCGCTTTCACCACACCTGCACTGTTGTAAGCACCAGCCCCCAGCCACCCAGTCCTGCCTCTGGTGCCTTTATCAGAGGCAGAGGGCTCTGTGTTTGTGTGTGTGACATCCACTTTCACCACACCTGCGCTGTTGTAAGCGCCAGGCTAAGAGGCGTCCACCCTACTATGGAGACATTTTATCAAGCCAGAATTTCCGAGAAGCAGAAGTAACCAAGTCTCGTCCCTTCAGTGATGTCTGGAGGCTGTACTGCGATGGATGCAGGAGAATGGGTTGAGGCTGAACCCGGACAAGACAGAGGTCCTAAGGGTGGGTGGCCCCTGCATCGGTGGGTTGGGAAGCTCCCTCTCTTTTGGGGGAGTGACTCTCACCACAAAGAGTGAGGTTCGCAGCTTGGGGGACCATCTGGAT